CCTATCTAGAGGCAGAGCCAGCTGTACCCGCCCCTCCCCCGTCCGTTCCGCCAGTCAGCGCTGGAGGACCAGGGAGGGGGGAATCGAGAAGTGAGCGAACGCCAGTATGTGTTTGCTCACTTCCCGATCTACTGAGCCGACCTGTTACAGTCTCATTGTCACAGGTCGGCTAGAACTATGAGGTGAGTGAAACTTTAACTCCCGAGTTTAGAGTCACTTTACCTTGTAGAATCTTTTTTGTGTGTCTGTGTTTCACCAAATGTGCATGAGTTGGCGTGATGCGTGTTCACTGGCGATTCTCACGTGGCTTTTGTTGTAGGTGACCAGGATGGACCACAAGTTGGATGAGATCCTGTACGTCTTCCGTGCTAAATTGGTGCCAGAAGAGGACCAACAGCCCTCCTCTCAGCCAGCGTCCCCCGCCCCCCACAGGCTACTCCACCCGTCTCACAGCTCGCCCATGCCAGGCCGCCGATTCTGAGACACAAGGCTCACCACTCTGCAGCTCCTCCGAGGAGCCAAAGGAACTATACCATGGCTATGTGAGCAACAGTCCCGCGACAGAAGCCTCGCTTTGGTCACCTCACCCCCTACTTCGTGGGACACGCCGGGGATGTCACAAAGGGGCAACAGGGTGACTTCCTGACCCCCCGCTCTCCCCACCACACAGACGACCTTTTCAACTATATTCACAAGGCCCGACATATATACATTCCCTTGTGGGGGTTTGGCTCCGTTGGCATTCATGGTGCGCTCCTCAGAACACTGCACAGGTGGCAGGGTGCTGTCATGCCCGGTCAGCGCCATAGCGCACGTGGACAGAAAAAGATGTTCGTAAAATACGACTGCTACTCACACAATGTAATCCTGTAGTAATGAGATTAAACACGCAACTTGTACAAGAGGTGAAATTAGCGCAGTGCCGCGAAAGCTCGCCTCTGTTTTTCAGGATCTTGAACACAGTTGCCTTACGTGCACGTCAGGAGATGTCGCCCCGATGTACGTTTTGTTACCCCACCAGTCCAACATGTCCATATATTGGACATAGACGTCACACAATCACAAGAGCCAACGTTTCCAGACCACGCAGGGTGTCTTCATCAGGGCATAAAGATGATATGATATCAAATGTTCTGACCAGGTTTTTCGTATGTACGTTCGTATGAAGATCTTCCAGTCTATAGCCGGCTTAATAAAGGGGAAACAAAGTATTTTCTTTTATTAAAATGGCGAATGTTTACACCAGACACGGCGCGGGGCAAACTAAACGCCGTTCATGTTAATGTCCTTCACCTCTGACAGAGAAAGTGCTGCCACCCCCATTAGGGGCGGGGCACACCTAGGCGATTTATCGTGCGGTTTGAGTCGTGTGATATCGCGCAAAACACAGATTCGCATTGAAGTCAATGGAGGCCGTTCCCACCTTTGCGGTTTGTCGCGCAACCGAAATCGCGTGTCGAGCTAAAAGGTGCTGGAGCTATTATCGGGCGGTTGTCGCGCGGTTTGGGTCCCATAGACATCTCTATGCATTGAAAACCGCATGACAATGGCCTAGGTGTGATCTTAGCCTGACGGTGCTGCCTGGCAGAGGTATGTGAACCGCAAAGCCGTCTGGGCAGAATTACAATGCATTGGCAGATAAACATTCGGCATGTGTGTACTTAGCCGTTCTGGAGTGAAGGGCAGATTGTAGCGTATAGAGCGCGCAGCCTTCCGGGGGCGCCTCTGATCGCTGTATGGTCGCTTTGGGGGGGCAGGTGGTCTTTGGTGCAAGATTGGAATAGATTTCTGTCTGCTGTCTTGTTGTCGGGAAGGTAAGACGTTAACTGTTTGCCTTCCTCCCAGACACGTTCCTGGGCTCAGGTTACCGCAGACTCTGTACCTTTAAATCTGCTCGTCCCTCAATCTACAAACACTACGGGGGACCCGTATCAAGTACCCACACGGGCCACACACCCATCCCCCATCCCCCATGACAGGCCGGCATTATAGAGGCAGAAAGGAAATGCATGAAGACAACGCACCGCCAAACACGCACCCCCGTGCACACACATAGATGTGACTGGGCTCCTAAAGTATCTGTAAAGGCAAAGCACCCCATAAACGCAGCTCCGCCCCTATGTTGGGGTGACAGCGATCAACGTTTACCACTTGGGGGGGGGGGGGGGGGTGACACCAGAACAAAAAATGAAGGAGGTCTGTGTGTCACCAGGAAGGGAAGACACAGAAAGCAATCCAATGTTGGCCGATGTTCTAATCACTCAGACTCTGCTTTTGTTGCTGTCTCCATCACTTCCTGTCCTTGTGGTGACCTGTCCCTGAAACAGGAAGTGAGGGTAAATCCCCCCGATGTGGACACAGGTCAGGTGTTCAAGGCTGTGTGTGGCGATCCGACATTATCAGCAAGACTGAAAGTGAAGGGAAATCCCAAGAATCTTCTCACTCAGCATAAGACAGGCTTTAAAGTGGACCTGTCAGTAACTTTACAAGTCCAAATAAATTCCTGACATGTCACAATGTACAACAACAGGGTCATAAAACTCCACCTTTTATCATTAAGAAGCTGTCCTTGAGGTGCAATCAGTGGCTTTCCCTAGGCTGGGATGATGTCATCAGTCTGCTGCAGGCAGGAGGAAGTATTTCCCCAGTCTCCCCTCCCCCAGTGATCAGTCTGCTGCAGGCAGGAGGAAGTATTTCCCCAGTCTCCCCTCCCCCAGTGATCAGTCTGCTGCAGGCAGGAGGAAGCATTTCCTCAGTCTCCCCTCCCCCAGTGATCAGTCTGCAACATTGTAACAAGTCACAAGGTGAGAAACTGCAGCAGGGACTGGTCTGTGTCAGACATTTGTGAACACAGCCAAGAACTACACAGGTATGACTGTCAGTCATTTTGGTTTCACCGCCTCTGATGGTGTCACCCCATGTAAGGCCACTGTGCACAGGCCCCAGGATTTACATGATTGCGTCATCTCTGAGCCGGCATCTCAGTCCAGGAAGTAGATGATGACCCCGGATGATGGCTGAACAAAGATGGTACTGTCCTTCTGGAGAGAAAAGGAGAGGAAGACATTGTCAGGGGGATTCCCGTGACCTCTGTGTGATCTGGAAGTGTTACATACATTTTACTTAGCTTGCTGCATGGAAAATATATGTATCTGATGTAAATGAACCTGTCAATAAATAATGCGGAGCCAGTATCTGCCTCTATCATAAGGGGGGGGGGGGTTAACTCCAGCCCACTAGCTGTGCTTTAACTACAAATCCCAGCATGCCCCTGGGAGTCATGCCTATAACTGTCAGTCTTGCAATGCCTCATGGGACTTGTAGTTCCACAACAGCTGGAGCTCCTACCAGGTGTCCTGATCATTCACTGGCTGCATGCTGGGTCCTGGTCAGTGACAACTCTATAATAGGCGGTGATCTAAATCCAGAGACCAAGAGTCATGAAATATATTGAATATAGAAGATTTGATCTGATCGGAGTCTTCTACACATTTCTATATAGGAGAGAACGTAGTCAGTCGTATAAACATCTGTCCGTTCCACCTTAATTTTTTCGCCCTGCCTCCCATCCTCTTCGCCTATGCCTTCAAGCCACACCCCTTTGCCTTGCCGCGATTGGCTGCTCGCACCGTCTATCATCGAGTTGAGAAAAAAAGAAGAAAAAAAAAAAGTTCTGTTGAAAAACAACCGGAACCCGAAGGAAGATGTGGATGGATTGGAGCGGAAAACACACATCAAAGTTCTTCCTCGGTGCTGTGTGTGAGCAGTAAATCCAGGCAGGCGCCCCGCAGCCTTTCCTGCGCTGCTATGTATACATGTTATGTGTAGGAGCAATCGCAGCGTGACAAGTAAACATGTAGCAAATGAGTATAAAAAACAACCCCTCACAGATCAGGGAGCCCGGGGAATGCTGGGTAATAGATCGTGTTACATTCTGACACACACTGCAAAGTTCACAAACTGGAGGAGGAAAGCTGAAATGGATGTAAATATTAAAGTGACAGAACATAAAAAGATACTGAAAATGACAAATGTACTCCGAGGGGGGTTATTATTATATCTAGAGCTCACCAACCAAAAATTATCATCGAAAAGATCATCTACAGCCGCGTTTCTCAACCTTTTCATGGCGTGTTGTCCCCCTCATCATTATTACCACGTTGTTACCCTAGATAGGGCGGGGGCATTAAAAAGAACCCCCAAAACTGTGGGGTTTCTCGAGTCCCCCCTTCACACCAGAAGTGTCCGCTTTCATATCAGAAGCACTCCAATTCACATCGGAGTCCCCCCTTTACATCAGAAACACTCACCCCTTCCTTCACACTCTTCACATCAGAGTCCGACCTTCACATCAGAATCCCCCCCTTCCTTCACATCAGAGTCCCCCTTCACATCAAAAGCACCTTCCCTCCCTTCACATCAAAAGCACCCCCTTCACATCAGAGGCATGGTGCTGTGATGTTTTCAGGAAGCTATGCAGCACCCTACTGGCCCCTCCCTCCAGCCATCAGGTGTGCAGAGATCTGCTCCCGCAAGGGACAGGTGCTGCATGTAAGCGTGTGCATCTGCTGGCTGGTACTTCGCTGGAGGACAAGGCTGCATACTGGCATGGGTGCCGGCAATGGAATGCAGACAGTATGTGACCCAGTGTGGGCACCTGGAGCTACATGAATGTGCAGGTTCGGGTCTGCGTGTGACTGTGTCCTCCCCCCATAGCGAGGTGTAGGTGGCTGCACGCAATTACACACAGCACCAGTCCTTCCCAAGATCGGCTCCCTGCACAGGTGTGCACATTGTACGGATGTGTAGGCCCTTTACAATAAAAATGTCATTAGCATGTTGATGAGGTGTAAAGGAGGAACCAGAGAAGTAATTCTATGTTCCCATGTTGAAGTGTCACAGTCCTCACCTGCCAAATGTCAGCTTTATGGTTGCTCATTTGTATCTCTCCAGCTCCTGTCAATGTTGCAGTCCTGTGTTCTGTAACTTACTATGTGGTACTGTCACAGCCGGATTCTGGACTTCCCTTGCTTTTGAGACCCCCGTGTATTATTAGATTGGCCAGATATAAGGAAAGGAAGTCACCAGCCCTGTGTCCTCACATATTTCTGAAAGGTCACATTTGTCAGATAACACCAATGTTTTGGTGCCCCGCAGCGACCTTTACCCAGTCACTATGTCGCCTTGAACAAAGGGCCTAAAATGTTGGCTTTATTTGGCTAATGTGACGATCTGAGAATGTCTTCGGAGTGCTGGTGACTTTGCCTTGAAAGAGGGACCCTGCAAGGTTCCGAAACGTTGCCTTGGCTAATGTGACGATCTGAGAATGTCTTCGGAGTGCTGGTGACTTTGCCTTGAAGAAGGGACCCTGCAAGGTTCCAAAACATTGGCTTTATTAGATGGTGGCTTCTTGTCCTTGTATCTTGGCTTTGCACGACACCCTCCATGGCAGTCACTTTAAGCACTCTAATGCTATATCGGGTTTATTCCACGCTGAAACGCCTACATGAACAATCCCATACATTCCTATGGAGACTGTTCATGCAAGTGCGCAGATCTGTGCGATCCGAACCGCCTGCCGCCAAAAATGCTCCCTGAGCTAATTTTGTCACGCTGATCAGTGCGTTTCCTATATAAATGTCAATGGAAACGCGCTGAAACAATTAAAAACGGCCACTATCCCCCTCCCCTATACAAAGGACACGCACACGATTTTTGTGCAAGAATTTATTATTTTTAAATGATTGCATGACGTCGGAACAGAAATTTTTTTCTATCTTTTTTAAACTTATAAAAAGATTGTTTTCTTTTAATACAAGTCATCTGGCTCAGTCTGCAATCTGTTTTTGTTTTATTTTTTCTACAGCCAAATTATTACAAAAAACGTAAAAAGTAAAAACAAAAAAAAAAGAACAAATCAAAAACAAAAACCCTGCTAAACGTCAGAAACAAAGGAATTATATGTATATATAAACAGCATTTACAGTTGCACAAAATTTGCCGCTTTGGCTTTTCGAAAACAAAAGAATATTTTCTAGATTAAACAATTTTTTTGACGTTTTTTTCTTTTCTTTTAAACATAAATAAGTTAGTACAATGTTTCAGTGTCTTTACACAGAGATACACACACACCTCAAACTTGGTCATGATATGCTACATACAAAGACAATGCACAGGCGTCACAAAGGGAAGGGGGGAGTTTTACGAGAGAGTACTATGTCTGGGCGCCGGCGATCTTGGCACCCAGGAAGTGCAGTACTATCATATCGTAAGGCCTGTGGTGACAGAGGCAAAAAAAACAACAAAAAAAACCCAAAAATAAAAAAGCCGCCCCAACTTTCTGTGATGGGTTGGTGGACCGTGCATCAGGAAAACTGACCTAGAACATGTGTGTTGTGATGACCAGATAGAACATAATTAAACCCCAAATTGTCCTGGGGAAGCATTGTACTGGTTCGGGGGACGTGATCGACCCTCGACTTATCTGATAACGGAAATAGTTTTGCTTGCGTGAAGACATAAAGCTTAGAACCAGACTCCTGTCACACAGCTGTGCCAGTGTACAAAAGACCAGAATCAATTATCAACCCTATCACAAATTAAAAAATAGATATATTTATATGTACACACATAAAAAAAGAAGGTAAAATTTAAAAAAATAAAATAAAAAAAACAAAAATACTGCGGAGCCATCTGTCGACACAGGTGGAGGCCTGAATACATTGTGTAGAAAGGGGAGAGTACCTCATCGCCCATCTGCTAATTATGGAAGATTTGACATTTTGTTGGATTTCAGAGTGCAGTACCTGCGTGACCTGCGGTGGCGCTGTGCACAGATCAAGTTTTACTGCCACAATCTAAGGGAATGCCTTACTGGCAACTGCCATTGCGGCAATTCTCCATGACAACACCTTACCCTGCCTATCTATAGGGACAAGAAGTAGGGTTCCAAAGCTCCAGCCTTCCCCTGCTACTACCCCTCCGGTATCAGTTTCCGGTCCACCTCGTGGTTAAGAGGCTGTCACGGAGGATGAACTGGAGTCTACTGCAGGTGAATTATGCAAAAATGGTATTTGTTATATTGACCTTCATTTGCTACCTACTGGGTTACCTCTACAACACACAGCTCAGCTAAATCTACTAGGAGCTTAAAGGGAATTCATCACAAAGCAATACCTGAGTGGTATGCCTCCGATAGAAGCAGCTGCACCTGATTTGTGGACTGCGCACAGGCTTAGCGCCACTTTAAAGTCACAGTCCTGAAGCTGGCATGTAGTCCATGAGACGAAGAACAGCTTCCATTGAGGAGTTCTGACACAAGTGCTTTGCTTAGTGAATCATTCCTTTTTAAAGAGAACCTGTCAGAACAGTTGTTGTCTATCAAACCCAAAGCCCCTATGACCCAACTCTCATAGGGGGCAGGACACAACTCTGCAGCACCAGCCAATGCGGTGGTTTCCCTTAAACTGGCACCACCCCTGAGGGTTGGGCAAGGCTAGTGTACAGAACAAAGTGGAAGTCTCAGCTGTAAGAAGCAGGTGTTCTGACAGGTTCTCTTTTCTTTAAAAAAAAATAGTTTTAGTGCTACAGGGCAGCTGTGGCTACAGTTTTCTGGCTGAGGTCTGCCGGCTACAATCAATGCTGGCAGAACTGAACGGGAAGCTATGGTGACACCCGGCTACAATCAATGCTGGCAGAACTGAACGGGAAGCTATGGTGACACCCGGCTACAATCAATGCTGGCAGAACTGAACGGGAAGCTATGGTGACACCCCTACTAACAAGCGGGTCTCATAAGCAGCCCTCTAGTCTCTGATAAGGGCTCTTAACCATACAACAGCCACATTCAGAAGAGTTTAAAGTGAGTCTGTTGAAAGATTTTTTTTTTTTTAAGTCGGAGGAAAAATAGTCACCAGACTACAATCCTCGCTCTTTAAGAGTTGCAAGTCACCGCCGGACTGACAAGTATTTTTGATCTTCTTTTGCAGGGTGACTTTTGTAAAAAAATGAATTAATCTAATTTGGAAAACATATTAACTTTTGTAACAAAAGAATAACAGTTGAGATTTGCAGGCTACATTTGTGAGAATAACCCTCCCCCCACATCTGATCTGTTACTACCCTTTTATTCCATGTGGCGCACCAGCAACCATAAATTCCCCCATCTCTACAATGTATAACAGGCCTGGCCTTGTGGAAGAATTCAAAAATCAGTCAGGTGATCTCGTACTCGAGCTCCAATGTTTCTCTTCGCTGCGATCAGCGCGACACTTGTCTCACCTGCGCGTCATCCCCCCTCCCAACCTCCCCTCTCTAAAACCTTTTATGTGCTACACAAGAGGAAGGGAGGGGGGAGCGGGCAGAGTCTCGCGGGGCAGTAAGAGAAGTGGAAGGTGCAAAGTTGTACAATGCTACATGCGATGCCCGTCCTCTGTAGTGTTACTCTGTATCAGTGCTCTGCAGGACGCTTCCGCCAGTGACAGAGTCCGGGGGCTGAGCGGGCAGGGGGTCAGCCGGCACTGGGGGAAGGGGGGAGGCTGGATCCTGCAAAAGAAAAAAAAAGAGAGACAAGACCTTTGTGAGGATCGGCGACTGACACATGTGGATGCCATTTTTTATGCACAGTACAAACAGACGATCCCTAATTATGGACACATATTACACACAGGTTCCAGGGCCCCTTCATTCATTGGCTGGCTGCCCTATCTTCTTTTAACAGGTAGGCTGCCCTAATTTTACGGTCTCTTTATAAATCCCCTTCAATCATTGCCTGGCTGCCCTAAGCAGGACAGGGTCTCTTTAACCCCCCTCCCCCTTATTCACCTTCCTTCAGTTGCAGCCACCCTAAAATACCCAGTGTGTCCTAAATGGGGAGCATGGGACCTCCTCCGATGATGCAATGCTCAATCCTTGGCCCCAAACACTGCCACATGGGGGGTTCCATTATCACCCCACATAAGCTCTAACACCGGCTGACACCAGGATTTGCAGCAGCCAGAACACAGGATGGAGAGGCAGAGGAGTGTTGTGAAACAGAGCGTGGGGTGGTCTGAGAGGGGGCTTTAAAGAGACCCTGTCCTTTTGCCCTGAAAGGACAGGGTCTATTTAATAATCCCCTATACACAGTACGTATAGGCAGACTGATGACATTCCCTAACAAACTGACAAGACATGCACACCGGCTTGCCTATACGTACTGTGTATAGGTGATTATTAAGGTGCCACCGTAGTGTAAAAAAAATAAAAAGAAGACTTTTTCCATATGAATGCACATTTACAGATGTGGTGGTATGTACAGAAGTTCTAATACCCCATTGGTCAGTGCTCAGTAACCTCCATATGATACCAGCCAATGACCTTCCCTCTCTCTTCAGAACCCGTCTATATAAGGATTCCTTCCATGAGCTGCACGTTTGAGACTTTTTTACTATTTGTATCACAACGTCCAGAAAAGTCTTGTGTTTAATTCTAGGTGAATCATTGACACAGATAAAGTCCACAAAGCATCACATGACCCGCGGTGTACAGCTGTGTATGTGTACACTCCATACTACAAATACGGCGCACACCCTGAGGCGTAAACCAAGCTCTGCTAACCGCAGGGCGATGTGCAGTTTGTTTTCAAACAAAAGACACGTCACAGCCATGCTCCCGCAGCAAGCCACTTCCTGCCCCCTCCCTCCACTTCCACTATGACTTGTTTAAAGCGGCCGAAAGTGTCACCTATAGACGCCCTTTCTATAACCCCGCAAGACAGACCAAGCACTGCCAGCCGGGCACCAGAGAGAATACATAGAGAGACAGGACAGAGAGGAGGGGAAACAAAATAATACGAATAATAAGAGAGAGAGAGAGAGAGAGAGAAGATGGGAGGGGGAGAGGCGAGAGAGAGGAGTTAGAGAAATAGGAGGGGAGGGAGATAGAAAGAGGACAGAGGAAAAGAAGAAACAGAAAGAGAGAGGGAGGGGGGAGGGGAGAGAGAGTACAGCCGGCCACAGGACGCTGAGCCCGGCTGTATCCGGATCAGAACACGCACCTCTTACCCGAATCCTCTACGTGCTGGGTCGGCTCTTCTTCGGGGTCTGCTCGGGCAGTGGCGTCGAGCTTCCGTCCGATGTCTCTCCAGCATCTGTTCTGTGTGTCGCCTGTGAGCTGGCGGAGGGGGGCTCTGAGGAGGGAGGATGGAGATGTCAGTCCAGACATGTATTGGGGTTCCTCGGTCAGGCCCCAGCCGTGGTGGGACAACAAATCCCAGCAAGACCATTGTGATCAGTGTAGAATCATTTACCATTGGAAGTAGCAGGGACCCCATATCAATCACATGGCACAGGTCACAGGTCACACGTCTATCACCTCAACAGCCCAGAGTGTGGTCTCTGTGTCATGTCACTGTCAATAGAGTGTGGATGCTGCGCAATTCCTGCATGTGGATCGTCTTCACTGAGTGAAGAGTGAAGTCAATAACATGCGGTCAGAAGACAGTGTGCTCACAGTCACCATATGCCAAGTGCAGTCATAGGAATACAGTCCTTGTATGCAGTGTTGTTTGTGAAATGCGGTCACTGTTGGTGGAATGCTGTACATCGAATGTAGTCACCAAATGCAGAACAGTGTCATAGCACACAGTGTGGTTAGGGGGAGCAGATTATGGCCACCTTACACAGAGTGCGGCCACCTTACACAGAGTGCGGCCACCTTACACAGAGTGCGGTCACCTTACACAGAGTGCGGTCATCATAAATAGTAAGCAGCCACAGACAGCAGATTAGGGTCACAGTACACTAAATGCAGTCAGTATAGAGTGCGGTCCCCATACAGCGGGGGCGGTCTGTAGCAGGCGGTCCTTGTACACAGAGTGGTCTGTAGAGTGCTGTCCTCATACACAGAGCGGTCTGTAGAGTGCTGTCCTCATACACAGAGCGGTCTGTAGAGTGCTGTCCTCATACACAGAGCGGTCTGTAGAGTGCGGTCCCCATACACAGAGTGGTCTGTAGAGTGCGGTCCCCATACACAGAGGGGCCTGTAGAGTGCGGTCCACATACAAAG